TACGGGCTGCCCGGCGTGGCGCAGCTCAAGAGCCGCGAGTCGTACGCGCTGTGCTACGACCCGCGCACCCGCGGCGCGCTCTGGGTGATCGAGCAGCTGCGGCCCGAGCGGCTCCGCGGCGACGGCGACCGCCGCCAGTGCGACTTCCGCGAGGACGACTCCGTGCACGCCTACCACCGCGCCACCAACGCCGACTACCGCGGCAGCGGCTTCGACCGCGGCCACCTCGCCGCGGCCGCCAACCACCGCTGGAGCCAGAAGGCCATGGACGACACCTTCTACCTGAGCAACGTCGCGCCCCAGGTAGCGCCGGGCCCCCGCTCCTGGCGGCCGATCGCGGGGCTCCCTCGAGCCCCGGCAGCTCCCGGCAGGGGAGCCCCCGGCGCATCCACGGTCTCATTTCGTGTCGTGGATCGACACTGTCTCACCCGTCTCTTCCGACGTGGCCGTGGACACACCGCGCCGCTTCCGGCCCATCATTAGTTATAATGTGGGAATTTGGCTGGGAGAGGCCCAGTCGCTGGCCCAGGGCCACGCAGCTGAAGAGCCCAGCTGTGTAGAGCCAAGCTTTTAGCCTTTGTCTGCACTGCCTGCAAGTAGCTGCCAGGAAATCGATCCGCACATTGGCTAGCTATTGGTGCCAGTCACTGCACTCCGGACATGCTGTCCTCACTCTAGCCAGCTTCCCAGCAGGGTTCTGGCACCTCTGGATGGAAACGAGTGGGGCTCTGGCATGACCCCTCTCAAGGTTAGGTATAGCCCAGCCTCTCTGAACAGCCAGGGGGCTCTGCCCCTTCCTTTGAGCTGGTGGGGTGCAGGAGGGACCCATGACAGGGGTGGGTGGCACTCAGTGGCCTTCCTTGAATTGGTGTCCTCCAGACGCTTGTCCACCCCACAAGGCGTGGGGCAGCTGGGGTGGATGGGAGAGGGGGTCCCAGGTATGGTTCTCCTGAGCACCACTTCCCCCACCAGGTGCCTCACCTCAACCAGAACGCCTGGAACAACCTGGAGAAGTACAGCCGCAGCCTGGCCCGCACCTACCAAAACGTCTATGTCTGCACAGGGCCACTCTTCCTGCCCAGGTGAGGCGGCAACCAGATGGCCAACTTAGTTAGGCTCTGGATCATCCCATCTGGCTTCTGGCAAGTTCTGTCAAGTTCCCCTTTTTGATGGGTTCTGGGTAAGTCAGGATCTATTTTGCCATGCCTCCAGTCTTGCTTTTTACTTGCTAATTGGAGATGGAGTCTCCAGACTTCGGTGGCTTCCAAATCCAAGCCTTCAGGCCTCAGCCTCCTTTAGTATTACAGGTATGGGTCCTGTAATATGGGTCCCCCTCCCCTCTTTTTTTGGTCAGTTGTGGAGCTTGAACTCAGAGCCTGGGTGCTGTCCCTTATCCTCTTTGTGTTCAAGTGCAAGGCTAGCATTCTACCAACTGAGCCACAGTGCTACTTCCAGTTTTTGAGTGGTTAATTCAAGACGAGTCTCAAAATGATTTTTCTTCCTCATTGCTTAGAACCATGGTTCTCAGATCTCAGCCTCCTGAGTAGCTAAGATTACAGGCATGAGCGGTCTGCACCCAGCTCAGGTTTCCCCTTTTGATTTCTATAAAGATCTTAGGGTGTCTTCCTTGCCTATGTCTGCCCTGTCCTGGTACACCAAGCCCTACATCTTTTCCCCCAGTCCTGTGTTGTCCCTTGATAGGTCCCCCTTGCCTCAGGCTCTTACCTTCCCACCCTGCTGTGTGGAGCACTTCCTCCACCTGAGCCCGCCAGGGACTAGGGGACTGATGGCATCAGTGATTTTTCTGGTCTGCAGAGACTGGGCCCTGAGGCAGCGTGGAACCCAGGACTTACTGTCTAGTCCCTAGGAGCCATGGGCAAATGACCTCCACGTGCTCTGTAAAAAGGGGATAAGGCCTGGGACACCAGTTCCTGGGGATATTCAGTCAGAGGGACACATGGCAAGGCCTTAGCACAGGCAAGCCAAGGTGGCACCTGGGGTGCTATAAATGCAATGGAGACAAATGCCAAGGGGAAACCAGAAGCCTTTTGCCTGGCACCTGCCTGCCATGTGGCTGTCACAGCCCTTGCCCGCCTGGTACACCACCTCTACCCGCAGGGGTGGATGCGAAAACAAGAGACCCAACTCTTCCAGCAGTGTTTACTACCTCCCATTCTGCCTGACCCACAAGAACTCTGCAGGGTTCTCAGCCTCAAGGAAGGGCATAGAAGCCTCCCAAGGGAGCAGTCTCCAGGCTTCCTGGAGGAGGTGGCCTTGGGTACAACCAGAACCTCTGGCCAAGTGTGCCTGTCTGCTCACAGGACGGAGGCCGACGGAAAGTCCTATGTGAAGTACCAGGTGATTGGCAAGAACCACGTGGCGGTGCCCACACACTTCTTCAAGGTGCTGATCCTGGAGGCGGCGGGTGGGCAAATCGAGCTGCGCTCCTACGTGATGCCCAATGCCCCTGTGGATGAGACTCTCCCACTGGAGCGCTTCCTGGTGCCCATCGAGAGCATCGAGCGGGCCTCGGGGCTGCTCTTTGTGCCCAACATCCTGGCCAGAGCTGGGAGCCTCAAGGCCATCACAGCCGGCAGCAAGTGAGGGCAGCGGCTGAGAGACGGGGGTGTCGGGGCGGGTCACAGTAAAGCTGGTTATTTTTGGAGACAAGCTCGGCTGTCTGTCCCAGGTGACAGGGGAATCTGCTTTCACTGCCGCTTCATCTGGGTCCCGATGACACACAGCCTTCAGGAGGGCCGGGCACCGGCCTGTGTGAGGCCGGGTTGCAGGGTGGCCAGGGAGATGAGGATGGCTTCCTGGAAGAGAGGCACACACCGGGCTGCGGCCTGGGAGGCTGGCGTCTAGTCGCCCAGCTCCTGCCTGCTTCCAGAGCCCAAGGTCAAAGGCCATGTTTATGCTGGTGAGAGGACAGTCTACTGCTCTGTCCTCCGTCAAATGGGGGTGCCGGTACTGAGGGCCAGGTGGGCAACATGGTGCGCAGGAGTTCTTGGTCCCCAGGCTCAGCACTTGGCCTCCAGGAAGAGATAGATCGGGGCGGTCACTATGTGGTCACCATGTCTGAGGCAGACAGGAGCAATGGAGCCAGAGCAGTGGCAGGGTCAGAGCCCTGCGGACCTCAGGCACACAGGTCAGGGCTCCCTGATCTCAGGGCACACTGTTCCCCAGGACAGTACACAGTGGGCTAGAGGGGAGAGCCGCCATGCCCACACACGAGGAGGTAGCAGAAGCCGGGGTACTGAGGGACTTGGCATGCTGAGGGGACAGAGGCCCTGGGCCGGAGCGGGCAGGTCACCTGGGTCCCTGAGCCTGGGAGCATAGGACCATAACCCAGGACTTAGGACTCACAACTGTGTCGTTGTCCCCCCGCCTCACCCCAGCCCATGGGAACTGGTGCAGCAGTGGGGTGCAGCGGGGCTCACCTCAGTGCGGATGGTGCGGCTGCCCTGGCCAGGACACGTGTTGACATACAGGTCAAAGAGGACACTGGGTTCCACCACGTCCAGGTTGGGGTCAGCATCCACTCCAGTTTCTAGTCCTTGCAGACCCCCGAAAACCACTAGTGCATGCCTGGCACACAGGGGAGGGTCACGGACTTCTCAGAGCCCCACCGGACCCCTGAAAAGGCCCCTGGGTGGCAGCGCCCCACACACAGGTCCAGCTTCTGCACTTCCTCCCTGGCCTCCATGCCGGGTGGCACCTACCTGAAGCTGGGCAGCTGGGCGGAGGCCACGTCGGAGCCTCGCTCCGACGTCCCGATGGTCAGGTCGTAGCCATCCTGGAAGGGTGACTCGGTGAACACAGCACCTTGATGGGGGGGAGCAGCGCAGTGGGACCCCGCTCGGGCTATGTGTACCCAGCATTCCTGCGGGGCAGGGTGGGGCACAGCCAGGCCCTACACTGTTCATGGGGGGCTGAGGGCTGGACCCAGTGAGGTTACGGGGTAGGCAAGAGATGCTGCAGGAAATGCAGGTCCACTACCAATTACCCACCCATGATCCTTCTCTTCGGATGCACCTAACAGCACCCCAGGCAGCGCACTCAGAGAGGCAGGCCCAGAGGACAACCTCTGGGGATAAGCCCAGGACCCCGGGATGACTTCTGTGTCCAGCAAGGTGCCCTGCTGCCTCCCAGATGAGGTATGGGAGCCAGACAAACACTCGGGGGATGAAAGCCATCCTTACTGAGGCAGGAGGCCAGGCGGACGGTGTAGCCCCAATAGAGACCGGCCTTGGTGCGGGGGTCCTGCGAAGACACAACTGTTCCCCGGTAGGTCTTGCATTCTGGAGGGAGAACACACTGTGGGTGAGGCGGGGGACAGGGAGAAAGAAGGAGGAGGATTTGAACCCTTGTTCTGGCTAGAATACCAGAGAGCCTGGGGAAGCTTCCAGATACCTGGGAGCTGTTTCTGGTCCAATCTCACAGTTACGCGAAGGCCAGGCTCCAGGTTCTTATCAATCTTCACCTCCTGGGGAGAAGCCAGAGGAAATGGGTCGAACTGTGGGTCTCTGCAGGACTAGCAAGAGATCCGAGGAGTCCAGGTCTACCTACCAACCCCCCTCCTCCACCCGATCCCAGACTGCTCACGGGGGACCATTCATGTACAACCACCAACACAAGACAGGCACTGGTGTTTGATGCCTGTAATCCTTGCCTCAGCCTCATGAGTCTGAGATCTGAGGATCACAGTTCGAAGCCAGCCCAGGCAAGAAATTAACCAGCAAAAAAGCTGGACGTGGAGCTGTGGCTCCATGGCATGCTGTGGCAACTTACACTTGAGCACAATGTAGGTAGGGTCTCCCTTTATGCTGAGACTAGAGTAGGCTGGAGCCCTGCTGTCCGTCCCTGCGACACTGGGGTGCATAATGGGCCCAGCCATCGTGCTTCCTCTGTAGCTGGGATGACAGATGCATGCCACTATGTCTGGATATTGCTTGAGATGAAGTCTCACAAATGTCTTTTTGCCTGGGCTGGCCTCAAAGCACTATCCTCCCAATCTCTGCCTCCCAAGTTACTAGGATTATAGGTGCTAGTCACCAGTGCCCTTTTTGAGGAGGTATCTCACATAATTGTTTCTGTCTCTATCAAAAACTTGAGAGTAAACAGTAAATTAATACTCCAATCTCCAGCCTGGCTCGACAGCAACGTGGAGAGGTACCTGGATGATTTTTAACTTGTTATTCACAGTCTAGATTCATTTTGACCATGAGAAAGGACAGCTCTCTACTACTGAGTGATACCCCCAGCCCATGGCCTCATCTCTTGGCTTGCTTATTCAGATGGCCATCTACCATTTAAGCCACAGCTCCATCCCTGCTTTTTGCTAGTCATTCTGGAGATGGAATCTCCAGGACTTCTCAGCCCAGGATGGCTTCCTTGTAATATCCTCAGCATCTCAGCCTTCTAAGGAGCTAAGATTAGAAGTGTGACACACTGGCACCTGTCTGGCTTAATATTTTTTTTTTGGTCGGTCGTGGGGCTTGAACTCTGGGCTTGGGCGCTGTCCCTGCACTCTTCAGCTCAAAGTGAGCACTCTACCACTTGAGCCATAGCGCCACTTCCAGTTTTCTAGTGGTTTATTGGGGATAAGAGCTCATGGACTTTCCAGCCCAGGCTTACTTTGAACCGTGATCCTCAGATCTCAGCCTCCTGAGTAACTAGGATTACAGGCATGAGCCACTGGCACCTGACTTTTAATTTTTTTTTTTTTTTGGTTGGTTGTGGGGCTTGAACTCTGGGACTGAGCTGTCCCTCAGCTCTTCAGCTCAAGGCAAGCGCTCTACCAATTGAGCCACAGAGCCACTTCCGGTTTTCTGGTGGTTTATTGGAGATAAGAGGCTCATGGACCTTTCTGCCTGGGCTGACTTTGAACCATGATCCTCAGATCTCAGCCTCCTAAGTAGCTAGGATTATAAGTTTGAGCCACTGACGCCCAGCTTGGCTTCATTTCTTGAGTCCTGTATTTGGCACTTTTCAGGCCTAAATTTGCATCAATAGAGTTTTTCATTTTACAGGCTGGTCCAGGGTGTAGGTGACCCTACCCAGATGCCCTTCCCTGCCCTCTGTAGCTGCCGAGCGTCCATGACTGAGGTACACCACAGCACACCTCCCACTCCTACCTTCTTCATGCCGCAGTTGACAAAGGAACCATGACCTAGCCGGGTGGGCCGGTCCACCACGACGCCCTCACGGAACTCTGATTCCTCATCCTGGCGCATGTGGTGGGGGCTGTCCAAGGGGTTGAGAAGCCCTAGGGGGTAGGGGGCAAGAAGAACCATGGGAACCATGGGTCACGGACCTTCTGCTTGACTCCAAGCTCAGGCTTCCTCCTTAGACCCGCTCTCCCACATGGACAGTGAATGGGGACTGGATGATTTCTCCATGTCTGGGGACAGTCCAGAGGACACAGGGGTCCGGCTGACCAGCCACCAGCCATACCTGCAAACTGTAGATCCTGGTGCTTAGGGAAAAACGCCTTTCTCAGGTACCTAGTAAAGAATGTGGCTCTTAGCTGGGCACTGGTGGCCCAGGCCTGTAATCTTATCAACTCAGGAGGCTGAGATCTGTGGATCACAGTTTGAAGCCAACCCTGGCAGGAGAGTCCATGAAACTCATCTACAATTAACCACCAAAAAGCCGGAAGTGGAGCTCTAATAAAATGGTAGAGTGCCAGCCTTGAGTGAAAAAACTAAGGGACAGCACCTAGGCCCTGAGTTCAAGCCCCAGGAACAGCACACAACAAAAAGGAACGTGGTTCTCGGCAGGTCCCCGGGAAGGCCTCCTCCTAGCTGTCAGCCCTCCCGCACACCAAGGGAAGTTACTGCCTTACTGTGGACACTCGAGGTACTGCAGGATGCGAGCCAGCTGTACACACGCCTGCCCCTTCTTGCCGATCCCCTTGAATTCCCCTTCCACGGTCCTGGAGACAGAAAGACAGGGCTCAAGATCCAACCACTACCTGGGAATGCAGCTCAGTATAGTAGTACGGAATGTGTTCTGGTATGGGCAAAAGCTTGAGTTTAGAGCTAGGTGCTAGAGGCTCACATCTGTAATCCTAGCTACTCAGGAAACTGAAATCAGAAGATCACAGTTCAAAGCAGCTCAGGAAGAAATGTCCCTAAGACCCTTATCTCCAATTAATGACCAAAAAGCTAGAAGTGGAGCTGTGGCTCAAGTGGTAGAGCACCATGCCTTGAGTAAAAAGAGCTTGAGGGGCTGGGAAGGTGGCTCAGTGGTAGAGCGCTTGCCTTGCATGCATGAGGCTCTGGGTTCGATTCCTCAGCACCACATAAGCAAAAAGAAAAAAGCCGGAAGTGGGGCTGTGGCTCAAGTGGTAGAGCACTAGCCTTGAGCTGAAGAGCTGAGGGATAGTGTCCAGACCCAGAGTTCAGGTCCCACGACCGGACCAAAAAAAAAAAAAAAAAAAAGAGCTTGAGCTGAATTTAAACCCCAGTACCAGTATACACAAAAAAGGGGGAAAAAATCGGAATTATAATCCCCTTCAAGAGTTGCCCCACCCAGTCTGACCCCTATATCACCTCCCTGTCTTCCACCCACAGTATGAAGCCAGCCATCCCTGGCAGCTCCTCCTCCTCCCTGAGCCCCAGTACCCTGGAGGTGGGTCCTTACTTGGCATCTTGTCCTTCCTCATCAAACACCACAATCTCGTCCACACAGAAGATGGCGCAAGCTCTGGCAATCTGGCCAGCCAGGTAGGTGCGAAGCTCTGGTGACTGGGCATTGTCCAAGATGGAGCCCGGCAGGGCGACACTCAGGGTGTAGGGCCGTCCTGAGCAGGGCAAGTGCTCTGGGTTAAGGTGAGCCAGGACTCCACCCTCCTCCGCCTCCTCAGTCCCGGGGTCACAGATTTACCAACTGGGAGAGATTCTGAGATAAGCAAAACAAATCCACTTCCCTTCCCTGGGTCTCAATTTCTCCAAGGGGAAAATGGACACGGTGGTCTCTGAGCAGGGGCAGGCCAGGAAGTGGGTAAAAGTCAAGGGTTCAGTCCACCTCCTCTGGCTTTCTCCCTGCCTTATTCTCCAGAAGCCAGATGGGAATAATAAGGAGCTAGTATCAATAAGCTTTACTTATGTGAACATGACACAGCGGGCTCATCTCCATGGCTTCTACGTCTGTTGATTCAACCAGCCATAGCTGAATTACTTTAGGCAAGAGCTAGAAGTGTACTCAAGTGTACTCCAAACATTCATGAGGCCCAGAGTTCCATCCTTACCACCATTTAGGAAATGAAGGTAACTGGGTGTCTCGTGTCTATAATCCTAGCTACTCAGGAGGCTGCGATTTGAGAATTGAGGTTTGAAGCCAGCCAGGGCAGGAAAGTCTATGAAACTTTTTTTTTTTTTTTTTGTCACTTGTGGGGCTTGAACTCAAGGCCTGGGCACTTTCCCTGAACTTTTTCACTCAAGGCTAAAGCTCTATCACTTTGAATTACAGTACCACTTCTGCCTTTCTGGTAGTTAATTGGAAGTAAGAGTCTCCTGGGTTGAGCACTGATGGCTCATGCCTGTAATCCTAGCTACTCAGGAGGCTGAGATCTGAGGATCATGGTTCAAATCCAGCCCTGGCAGGAAAGTCTGTGAGACTCTTGTCTCCAACAAACCACTCAGAAAACTGGAAGTGGCACAGTGGCTCAAATGGTAGAGTGCTAGGCTTCAGCTGAGGAGCTGAGGGACAGTGTTTAAACCCAGAGTTCAAGCACCATGATGGTCAAAAAAGTCTCCTGTACTTTCCTTCCCTAGCTGGCTTTAAATCTTAGATCTCAGCCTCCTGAGTAGCTAGAATCACAGCCATGAGCCACCAGCACTACAATGCTAGATTTTGTTGTTGTTGGTCCTGGGGCTTGAACTCTGGGCCTGGGCGCTGTCAGAGCTTTTTAGCTCAAGGCTTGAGCCACAGCGCCACCTCTGGGCTGGCTTTGAACTACAATCTTCAGAACTCAGCCTCTGAGTAGCTAAGATTACAGGCATGAGCCACTGGCACCCAGCTTTCTATGAGACTCACCAATAAACTACTCAGACAAACGCAGAAGTAGCACTGTGGCTTAAGTGGTAGGGCACTAACTAGCCTTGAGCAAAAGAAGCTCAAGGATAGGCTGGGAATGTGGCTTAATGGTAGAGTTCTTGACTAGAATGCATGAAGTCCTGGGTTCAATCTTCAGCACCACATAAGCAGAAAAAGCCAGAAGTGGTGCTGTGGCTCAGGTGGTAGGGTGCTACCCTTGAGCTGAAGAGCTGAGGGACAGCGCCCAAGCCCCGAGTTCAAGACTCAGGAATAACAAAAAATAGTGTCCTAGTTTTCCTGCCAGGACTAGGGGGTGGGGGAGTAGGGAGAAGGAGGTAGGAAAGGAAAAAAAAGTTGTAGAGGTATAAAGTATATGTTTGTGTGTGTGTGTGTGTGTGTGCGCGCACGTGCGTGCACACGCGCGTACTCTCTAGTACTAGAGCTTGAACTCAGGGCCTCACACTCTAACTTGGCTTTTTTGCTCAAGGCTGGCACTCAGCACTTGAGCCGCATCTTCATTTCGAACTTTTTGCTGGTTAACCGGAGATAAGAGAGATGGGTGACAATGTCAGACACTTTGTACTCATATATTGTTTTGTAGAATGGGAACTTCTTTGTATAGCTACTTAAAGATAAAAAAAGAAATGTAAAAAAAAAAATAAGAGTTTCACAGACTTTGGGCTGGCTTTGAACCTTGATATTCAGATCTCAGCCTGAGTAGCAAGGATTATAAGCATTTGTCATCAGTACCCAGCAACTTAATCTCCACATGCTTGAATCTCCTTAAATAGAAGTTTAGGACCGGTAGGTTTTCTGGGCCTCAGTTTATCAGGTCACAATGTGTGAACCCCTGGTCCCTAAGGGCTTTTATAGATGACATTCTGTTCCCTGCCTCCAGACAAGACAGCTGCTCAGGCAATAACCCATACGCCTCCCAAGACCCAGCCTTGTACCCTGGTCCTTCCTCTGGGCAGCTGCCTCTTCTTCCTCCTTCTGCCGCTTGGTCTGCTCCTCTTGTGCTCGCTGCTTTTCAAGCTTTTTGGTCATCTTAAGGTCCTTCCATTTCTTTTTCTCTTCTTTCTCTGAACAAGAGAACGAACACTCTGACTGATGGGGCAGAGGGAGTTGGGAGTAGTGAGGACATAGTTCCCTCTCAGTGAGTCATCCTGGACTCTGGGAGGTTAGGGATGCGCAGACAGGACCCCCCCCCCCACCGGCTGTGTCCCTTCCCACTGCTGGAGTGGTCCTCAGGCCGGGTGGCACAGACATACTCTTACCCCTTACTTACTCTGTTGCTTCCATTTTCGCCATTCAACCCTTTGGCCATGTTCACCCTGGAGAAGGCAAAAGAGCAGGATTAAGATGAGGGGCTGGGAGACCCCTCTCAAATGCTAAAGTCCTTGCTAGCAAATCTGAAGCTTTGAGTTCAAATGGCAGTCCTATCAAAGGGGTGGGGGAGGCACTGAAGGCTGAATGTGATGGCCCACACCTGTAATACCCCAGCTACAAGGGAGACATAGCCAGTCAAAAGTAGAAGATCGTATCTGAAAATAACGAACAACAAAAGGTGCTGGAGGTGTGGTTCAAGTGGTAGAGAGCCCGTCTAGCAAGTGTGGCTCTGAGTTCAAACCTCAGTATCATCCCCACTGTGGGGGGGGGTTGTGGGGCTGAAAGGCGACATCTGTGCGGGGAGGACGCTTGCTGCTCCCTCTAAACCGAGACAGGGGAAGCCAGGGAACCCCTGAACACTGCCAGACCAAACACCGGGATCAGGCCAGGCACACTGTGAGCAATAACTGCTGAGTGCGTCACCAAGAGAAGGAACTGAGGCACGGTCGCTACGAAAGATCTCGTGATTGCGAGCAGGGGCCCGGAGGGGCCCGGCCTGGGGTGAGCCCTGCCCGGGATGCCGGCGGGGAGCACGCGGCGCCCAGCCTGGGAGACTCGGGACTCGGCTGAGTGGCGCGCGGGCGGCGGGAGGCGCCCGCCCCGGCCCCACGGCGCTCGCTCTCACCTTAGCCCGGAGCCGCTAGAACCCGACCCGCCGCCACCTACCGGGCCGCAGGGCCGCTTCCTCCCGCGATCCGCCATGTTCCGCTGAGCGACTTAGGTCACGCCCCTGCCAATCAGACCCTTACCTTCCGGCCACACCCTCCGAATTCGTCCAATCGGAGGCCCAGTGGCTCGCGGGGGCGTGGTCTGGGCGCCAATCTGCCACGGGATTGGACAGCGCGGCGCTGGGGCAGCCCGCGGCCTCGCAGCGTGGCCGGGACCCTCGGCAGCCGCTCTCCTCCTCGGAGCCGGCGCCGCGCTCACAACTTGCTCAGCGCCCTTTTATTTATTTTTTTCGTACCCGTCCTAGGGCTCGAACTCAAAGCTGGTGCTCCACCACGTGAGCCACAGTTCCATTTCTGTCTTTTTGATGGAGATAAGAGTCTTACAGGCCGGGCGCCAGTGGCTCACGCCTGAAATCCTAGCTATCCAGGAGGCTGAGATCTGAGGATCGCGGTTCAAAGCCAGCCTGGGCAGGAAAGGCCGTGAGACTCTTATCTCTAATAAACCACCAGAAAACTGGAAGTGGGGCTGGGAAGGTGGCTCAGTTGTAGAGTGCTTGCCTTGCATGCATGAGACTCTGAGTTCGATTCCTCAGCACCACGTAAGCAGAAAAAGCTGGAAGTGGCTCTTGGCTCAAGTGGTAGATCGCTAGCCTTGAGCTGAAGAGCTGAGGGACAGCTCCCAGGCCGAGTTCAAATCCCACGACCGACAAAAAGAAAAAAAGGGGGAGGGGAGTCTTACAGACTTACAGCCTGGTGAGCAGCTAGGATGACAGGTGTGAGCCACGGCACCAGCTAGGGTTCGCTTTGGGTTGTTCCTTTTTATGGATTTGGACTAACTTCAGAGTCATGTATCCAGCATTGCAGTGAACACTGAATATGTAATTTCATTGCCCCAAATCCTGTAAATCTTGTCATTCATTTATCATCCCGCTTTAGCACAGGCAACTGCTGATTTTTTTTTTTTTTAATTATCTCTAGCCAGGCACTGGTGGCTCATGCCTGTAATCCTAGCTACTCAGGAGGCTGCAATCTGAGGATCATGGTTCAAAGCCAGCGCAAGCAGGAAAGTTTGAGAGACTCTTTTTTTTTTTTTTGAGAGACTCTTATCTCCAATAAACCTCCAGAAAAACGAGTGGCGCTGTGGCTCAAGTGGTAGAGCTCCAGCCTTGAGCTGAAGAGCTGAGGGACAGCTCTCAGGCCCAGAGTTCAAGCCTCAAGGCCAACAACTACAACAAAAAGGTGTTGCTGGGCACCAGGGGCGCACAGATAGGAAGATTAAGGTTCAAGACCAGAATGGGCAGAAAAGTCTGTGAAACTCTCCCTCTAAAACAACCAGTAAGGGGCTGGGAAGGTAGCTCAGTGATAGAGCGCTTGCCATGCATGCCTGAGGCCCTGGGTTCGATTCCTCAGCACCACATAAGCAAAAAGAAAAAAGCCGGATTGGCGCTGTGGCTCAAGTGGTAGAGTGCTAGCCTTGAGCTGAAGAGCTGAGGGACAGAGCCCAGGCCCAGAGTTCAGGCCCCATGACCAGATCCAAAAATAATAATAATAATAAAATAAAATAAAACAACCAGTAAAAAGCCAGGCTGGAGGTATAGCTCAAGTGGTAGAGTGCTTACTGATTATGCAAGCCAAGGAATCTCTAGACTGAGTTTAAATATCACCCTCTACCTACACCTGGCTCCCTCTCCCCCCCAAAATTTAGGTTTGTTATTCAGTCTAGTACCTCCTTTCTTTAAGGAAGAAGTGAAGCAGGTCTGGCTGAAAAGTTCTGATCTTTTAATTCCAGGTACAAAGTATCTGTGTGTGTGTGTGTGTGTACATGCGTGCGTATGTGTGCACATGCACCAGTTCTGGGGCTTGAACTCAGGGCCTGTGCTCTGTCTCAGCATTTTTGCTCAAGGCTGGCACTCTACCACTTAAGCTCTACTTCCCACTTTTTGGTGGTTAATTGGAGATAAGTCTCTTGGAATTTCCTGTCTGGGATGGTTTCAAACCACCATCCTCAGATCTTAGCCTCCTGAGTAGCTAGGATTGTAGGCATGAGCCACTATGCTTGGCCAAATACCAAAAATACTCCCAGCCCTCAAGCATTTCCACATATGAGTTTTTTTCTACCAGCAATGACCAAATATATATGTATATAGATAGATATTTTTTTATTACACTGAGTGTTCCATTAGCTCCCTTGATTGAACATAGGACCACCAATGCATTCAGGGGCTGTCCTGGCTCTCCAGCAGAACACACACTTCTGGCTTTTGCAGAGTGGCCTTGTACCCCTTCCTCCCTTCCTTCCTCCCTCCTGAGACCCCTCCCCTGGGGCTTCCCAATGGAAGAGAATGCTGGCTGGAGCCCAGCCAGCCAGCCAGCACCTGTAGAGGGCTCCTGTAGTGGGCACTCCCATCTCCTATTGGAGATCCCATTCATGAGCCCAGTGACTCTTGAAGTCTCTCCCATTCTGACCAAGGCCCAATTGATGACCTTCCATACCAGAGTGAAATAGAGATAGACAGCCATCCAGAGTTTCAATAACTTAAGCCTTTATTATGGATAAAAGAGCTCAATCCTGAGGCCAGCACCCTGAGGACCAGACAAGATAAGGACAGGTGGAGAGGACCCTGAGCAACTCTGGGACCAGGACAGGGACAGGGCTGGGAATTCAGGCCTGATACTCTGCCCTTTCTGTCCCAGCCATGGCTGAACACCCAAAAGAGGCAACCCTACAACTTATTAAAGAGAGCGATAGGAGGAGGCTAAAGCGAGGCCCCCTTCAACTCTGACTCAGGAGTCAGGCACTTCGGGAGGGGACGCCTAAGTCTCCTGAAAAAGGGGAGCTCCTCCCTGACATCCCAAGTCCCGTCCTCCAGTGCCAGACTGGTTAGAACCAGGTTGAATCCAGGTACCAGAGAGGTGGCATTAGGGCTTGAGCTCTGCCTTCCAGTTCTGCAGCTTCTCATCCATGGCCCGGAGTGTGCCTTCATTCTGTGTAGACACACATCAGTCCTTCCTCTTTCCCACCTTGTAGCCTGCTGAGGCAGGTTCTCCCCCCTCCCAGCCTTCCCTTCTTCCCTTACCTTCACAAAACAGAAGCGGATGTAGTGGTCAAAATCCATCTGATGTGGCCCACTGTAGAAGATGGACACCGGGATGGCCACCAGGCCCTGGGGGAGGAGGAGGAAGACCAGGCTGGGGGACAGGGAGCTTCCAGGGAGGGTGGTAAGGAATGTTGGTTCCAGCATACCCGCCCCCCAAATGATGTATCCGTATCAGCTCAAAGGAAAGGAACCCCAGGACATTATACCAGGTCCCTACTGGTGAAGGAGAGATGGGCAGCAGAAGAGGGCAGAGCCAGGGAAGAAATAAGCCTGGCCAGGACCTGGTGGCTCATGCCTATAATCCTAGCTACTCAAGAGGCTGAAAGCCAGATGGTTCAAAGCCAGCCCTGGCAGGAAAGTCCATGAGACTCTGATCTCCAGTTAACCCCCAGGGAGGGGAAAAAAAAAAAACTAGAAGTGGTGCTGTGGCTCAAGTGGTAGAGTGCTAGCCTTGAGCTAAAGAGCTTAGGCCCAGAGTTCAGGCCCTACAACCAACCAAAAAAAAAAAGAAAAGAAAGAAAGAAAGAAGCCTTAAAGTCTGAGACCTGAGGGCTGGGAAGGTGGCTCAGTGGTAGAGCATAAATGAAGCCCTGGGTTTGATTCCTCAGTACCACATAAACAGAAAAAGCCACAAGCGGCACTGTAGCTCAAGTGGTAGAACGCTAACTTTGAGCTGAAGAGCTCAAGGACAAAGCCCAGGCCTAGAGTTCAAGCCCCCCAAGACCGACAAAAAAAAAAAAATAGTTTGAGACCTGAGCTGGTGGACTTCAGAGATGATTGATGAGCTGTAGGTAAGGCTGAGCACACAGTGGGTCAGGAATTCCCGCCAGCCAATAGGGTATTTTATGCAAATTAGAAATATATTTGTCTTTTGTTTGTTGTTTTGGGGCAGTAAGTACTAGGGTTTGAATTCAGGTCAGGGCCTTGTGCTCTCACTTGGCTTTTCGCCCAAGGTCAATGTTTTACTTGAGCCACAGCTTTACTTCTGGCTTTTCGGTGTTTAGTTGGAAATAAGAGTCTCACGGACTTTCCTACCGGGCTGGCTTTGAACCATGATCCTCAGATCTCAGCCTCCAGAGCAGCTAGGATCACAGGTGTGAGCCACCAGACACCTGGCCTCTTCCCTGTTTTTGACTGGATATAAACTATTCCATTGTTCACAGCAGGCTCTACTGGTATTCCCTTAGTTGAACATCACCAATCCATGCACAACGTGTACAACCATAACCAAGCGGCAGGGCAGACACCAGGCCCACCTTGTTCTTGATCATCCATTTGACAAAGCGTCTGTCATAGGGCTCGTCCGCAGCACCAGGCAAGTCAGGCATCTTGTTCTCTGGGGGACAGAAGTCAGGCTGAGCCCTCAGTGGCTCTGAAAGCCGCCAAGCCTGAGAAGTGCGGTCGGTTCACTCACTGATCTGCAGGATGTCTGTGATGAGGAAGTAGCTGCCCTGGGGGATGATGGGATCCAGGCCCACAGACCGCAGGCTGCGGATCATGTGGTCCCGGTTGCGCTGCATGGCCTGGGGAAGCTGAACAAAGTAGCTGCTGGGCTGGCCCAAGTGTCTCAGCTCCTGCTCAAAGCTCTTGGCGACGGCAGCCTGAGCAGGGTGGATACACAAGGAGACAGGTCAGCTGTGTCAGGACTCTGGATCGGCTGTCTCTCCCTGTCACCTCCCCGAGGCCCCTCGCTACTCACCTGCGCCTGGGTGGGACAGTGGTAGACAGAGTTCTGGTGCACAGTCCTCAAGTGCTTCATGATATGATCCGGACCCAAGACCCAGCCTACCTGAACCAGGACCACAGGTAGGGGTGAGGCCCTGAGAGCTGGGCCCAGGCCCAGCTGCCATCTCCTACCTGAGACAGGGTCGGGGAGGGGCCCCCAAAGTGCCCCACTCACCTTCCAGCCTGTGGCACTAAAGGTTTTGCCCGCACTGCCGATGGTCAGGGTCCGTTCCCACATG